ATTATATATATATATATTCATTAATATACATTAATAATGTAATATTTAATAAATTTTGAAAATCTTCAAAATCTCTATGCCGTAAAAAATATCGAGGATAGATATTTAAATATCGAGGATATTAGAAGAAGCAAATTGTTACAATTGGTTCTTTTAATTATTAAAGAAAACAATACGTTTTTATAAACATATACATAAATATACTTATGACATTTTTACTATTTCATTTAGTTTGTTGGCCGTAAATTGTATTGTAAAATATAGTCTGTTTATGTGATTTTTGCTGTTGAAAGTAAATATTTCATTCTGTGAATTAGTTGTTTTATTGGATACATAAGCTATAGGCATGTTATTATTTCTTTTGTATATTTCTTCTATGTACATTATAACAATAACATATATTTAAATTGATATGTATACTAATTTTTTATTTGTATTTTCTCGAATGAAGAATAAAGAGTTAAGCGTTAGTTATAGTTCGATCGAGAAAGACTGAGGCCAAGTTCACACCATGACGGAAAAGCGGAAAGCGGAAAAGCGGAAGCCAATCGAAACTCGCAGTAGTAGTAGGTTGTACATTTCGCTTGTTTGCTTCTGTTTTTCCGCGAGTTCTGATTTGCTTCCATTTTTCCGTCAAGGTGTGAACCTGACGGCCTGGTACAATGTAAGAATTTATGCTATGTTTAGAATTGATAAATTAATTATTTCTTTCTTTTAGTGATTGAGATAGATATTAATTTAATAACTAATTCAAGACAAATCTGTATTAATATATTTTTATAAATTTTGATTTTATATTCTAAAATAAATATTTTGTATGAAGTATTTTATATTTGATTTCATCGTAATCTTGAATATAGATACATGTTTGAGATAATTGTAAATATGACAATTTGTCTCATTTTATTGTCAATAACAACTTGTCTTCTCTTTCTTACAAACAAAATTTATCTGCAGTTTTACTGAAAAGTTTTATGAAATGAAGTTTTATGAAAAATTTTAATTTTAAATATTTGAAAACATTGATATATACGAAATAAAATATAGATTATATTTAATTAAAGATGTATTGGATCAATGCTTATATAAATATTCGTTAATTTAAATATATACATTATATCTATAAAGAACCTAATAAAAAATTGTAACAAATAGTTTCCTCTGTCATGTAATTGTATTAATTAATGATTACCTATAAACGGAAACTTCAAGAACAACAAAATCGGGATTGCTTTCATCATTTAATCTGAATGGCACTTTTGCTTGATTTATATTGTATGCTCTTCCGTCTGGAGCGAATAATTTCAGCACACGTTTTGAATGATTACTCGTATTCGAAATATGATGCTTTTTCTCTTGTTTTTTCATAAATCGTTCAGCGATAACGATTCTATCTTCTGGCGTATGATAACTAGGTTGCTTCCAGAAACGTTCATTTTCTGGCTCACCATCCTGCTCTGTATTTTCATTTTGTTCGTTCTTTGTATGTTTCGCTTGCTCCTCTGTAATATTCTAAGGAAAATATTATACGCTCGTCTTTGTATTTTTCATGCGTAAATGAATCTACGACATAACTGTTTACATACTTAGAAGACTGCAGATAATTTAAAAGACATTTATGTATAATGACAATACTGGAAATCATTTATTTAATTTACCATTTGATTGATTGTTTCTATGGTTTCATGTTCAGCATTACGACGAATGCGTTGAGCTATCCTAGTTTTCTCATAATGCCAATAGCTCTCAATAACATCATCTTGCGCTCGCGAATAGATCTGCAATGCCTTGATACGTTCCGACCTTTCAATCTCCTGCATGTCAAACTCTTGCAATTGTGGTAAAGTCGCTACAACATATTGTCTATAATATTCATAATCCGTGCACGGATTTCCCATTAAAATCAAATGCTCCAAATGTTCATTACATCTATGTAAAACATGAACCATAGTTTAGAGAGAATCGAAAGGGAATTTATAGTTCTATTAAAATTATATAATAGTCTACTGTGAAAATTATATCAATTAATGCACAATTGATCAAAGTTTAACTTTGACTGATCTTGATAGTTGGACTTTGTTTAATTAATCAGGTAAATTATTTGATACATTTCTTAACTGATGAATTTTATGATATTAATAATGAGAAATTATCTACATATAATTTATACATCCTAATAATTATGTAATATCATATAATAATATAGGGCAATAAGTTCTTTAATTCATTCCCTTGATCATTGTATTGTACATAATTTTATTTCGTAAAAGTTGCATAATGCGATTGATCGATTGAATTAGTAAACGTCTAATATTTATAAAAGAAAATACCTGAGACTTTTTACACTTTGTAAATTTCCAATAAAATTGAGGGTGAGATCTAACTTCTTTAAACTCTCTAAACCCTCCAGATTCTCAATAATCTCGATGTTATTGAGGGCCAGGTTCAAATATTCCAGTCTCTTCAACATATTCAGATTCTCTATTTTCGATATGAGATTATTCTGCAATAAGAGGATCTTGAGATTTCTGCAGTGTCTATCTATCAATTGAATTTTATCGATATTCTCTTGGTGCAAAGCTATTTCTTCCAACGTCGATATTTCGCCCTCATTATGCTCCGAACGTTTCCGTATTAATTCAAGAGTAATTTTTACCATTTTTATCTTGCATTAGCTTCTCACTTAAACGCACTTTAACCAGAATCACGGAGGAAAATCGCAAATATCGTGAATAGAAATATCTAACCAAGAAAGCGTCGTAGTTGCTATGAGGATATCGATTTAACATTGTCAATCATGTTTTCTGATTCCACGTGCTACATGCACGTGTCATGAATTATTGATTGACACCCCGCATGAACGATTTTTTATTATTTATTTTTTCTCTTGTAGGATTTCATCTTGGAGCATTATAGCGAAGACGGGGAAAACTATGAAGAAGCTATAGCTGATTTGATGGAAACCAGACAGGTAAACAAATAATGCATGTTTTTTCTCCATATTATTCCATAATAGTAATAATTTTTACAGAAGTTACAAAAAATATATACAATTTTTTATCTTTCTTATTTATATATTTCAGAAATTTTCTATGGAGAACTTTGCATTGTTCAATTTTTTTTTATTATAAAATATCATAATTTTCGATGAATTTTTGAATATTATTCCAAATATACATAATTTAAGTTAATAAACATAAAAAGAGATAATATAATACGAATGTAAATTTTTCGATCTTAAAACACCATCAAGTAGAATCAAAGTAATAATCACTTTATTAAATTTACAAGCAATTTAATAATTTTTTTATGCTAATAAGCATCTTTATAAAAATATTAATAATCAGATAATAATCTGAACAATCAACGAGAATTTTAGAAATAATTTATTGCAAAAAATAACTTCGGTTGAATTAGTATAACGCCGTTCCGGAAAAAAAAGAAAAAAAAAAGAGTTTCAATTTTAAACCTTAACTGAGGCAATATTTTTTGTAATAAATTATTCGCAAATTTTAAGATTTTCTCATTAACATCTGATTATTAATATTCTTATAAAGATGTTTAGGGGGGAGGGGGGGGGGGAGATAAAAAAGATTATTAAATTGCTTGCAATATAGATATTACTATTCTGGTTCTGCTCATGATGGTGTTTCAAGCATATTGCGCGCCAAAATAGATTTCGGCGCGTAATATGCAGAATTATAATAGATATATGTATATAAATTCATATAAGAAATATTTAAGTACTAAGAACCTGCTTTGATCGATTATAAAGAAAAATTTTATATAAATAAATACTTTATTATTTTATATTCGCAGGCTACAAGGACACCGACCAGAGATTCAGCAGGCATCGCGTTACTCCTGCGTTATTATAATCAGCTTTATTTCATAGAGAGACGTTTCTTTCCACCTGACAGAAGTCTTGGCATCTATTTTGAATGGTTCGATTCGTTGACAGGAGTGCCGAGTTGTCAACGAACAGTTGCCTTCGAGAAAGCATCCATTCTTTTTAATGCCGGTGCGCTTTATACGCAACTGGCTGCCAAGCAGGATCGTCTGACGGCTCGAGGACTCGACCAAGCAGTCGACGCTTTTCTCAGAGCGGCTGGCACTTTTCGGTATATTCATGAGAATTTCACAAATGCACCAAGTATGGATTTGGGTCCAGATATGCTGGAGATGCTGGTACAGTTGATGCTTGTGAGTTCTCGCTTTAGTCTTATAATTTAATGTTTGTTTTGATAGTTGTTCAAATAAAAAAAACTATTCTATCACATAATCAGGGCCGTTTCAAGCCGGGGTATAACGGCAGCACATCCTTGCAGCCGATGGTATATCTTTATAAAAACAATCGTACAAAAATAATCGTACCGCCACGTGCGCATGGCGGTTTTCATGTTGATTATAGCCGTGATAGTATTTATTTGGATTTAGTGAAGATTGATATGAATTATTTGGATCGATACAAAAGAGAGGTAGGACGCTCTGCATTCAGACGCAATAAATCTTTGAAACGGCGCTGCTTATAATTAGTGATCTCTTATTTATAATATTTTTTATAATATTATATAATATTAAATAATATTAATATTTTTTAATATTATGTATTACATACAATACTATTAACGATTAATTCATTTCGCATTTTAGGCTCAGGCAAGGGAGTGTCTCTTTGAAAAACTGGAACTTCAATCGAAGGACAGCAGAAACGTCGATGTTTGTTTAGATCTTGCTCAAGAGGCAGCTCAGGTAAAAGAAAAGAAAAAAGAAAAAAACTTTTTCACAATTTTTTTGTGTCCATTATCGGTATATAATATCGGTGTATAATAAAGTACATGAATTATGAAGATGATTAATCCAGGTTGCAGCGATATATAATGATGTCCACGGATTGATATCACGCGAGCCAGTTCGTGATTACGTCCCGGAGACGTGGATTTCGTTGATACTAGTGAAGCGCGAACACCATCTTGCCCTCGCTCACAAGCATATCGCTGTTGGTCTGCTGGACAGACCAATTGCTGAATTTCGCGTGGAAACAAAGCTCACGTTGGAGCATATTCAAAAGAGCGATGGGAAAACTCAATTGGACGCAACTATTCCCAGAGATGACAACGAAAGGAAATTATTAGGTTTTACATTTACGCGAAATTTATTTTATATAAATGACATTGATTTAAAATACTAATAAATGATATTTTTACGTCGCCATTTCTTCTTTTTATTTATTCTCAGTAAGAGACGTATATGAACAGAAACTTCTTATTACAGGCAAAGCACATCTCAGAGAAGCTCTTGTTTTGCATGACGAGAGTCAACGGCTTCAGAGAATGTGCCGCGAGCTGAAGGGTAAACAAGCTCTAGCGAAGGTTCTGAAGAAAGCTCAAGAAGCAACGCTTGAAAGCTATAATAGATTTGGTAATGAAGATGATTTTCGAGAACTTTTGGATCCACCGGATATTATCGGTACGACGCTTTGTAAAAAAATTTATTAATCAAAACATAATTAATTTTTGTCTCTTCCATTTCGATGAAAATAAATTATAATATCAAAATGCATATTTTTTATTTTGTTCTTTTCTATTTGCAAATGTAGCCTCGACAAAATTTCAACTTAGTATCACTCATCCCGATTTTGGGCAGCACGGAGTGGACGACCTTTTCAAGTCGTTGGGACCTGTAGCGATATTTTCTGCCAAACGTCATTGGACAGCACCGCGATTGATACAACTTCAAAGAGGCCCTGACGGCGAAGGTTTTGGATTTAGTGTACGGGGTGATGCTCCGGTGATAGTAGCAGCCGTCGATCACAATTCACTAGCGGATGTAAGATAATCTATCCAATACAGGATAATGGTTATAAAATTATATGATCTTGCATAAAATTTATAATTTGCAATTATACGGATATATTTAGAAAAATAAATGCAAAAACTCTAATCTTTTTTAAAATAATACTGATAACCGTTTGCTCAATTAATTTCGACATAGTATTTCGACAAAATAATAATGATATAGCTCATTTTAGCGGCATATTTATCAAATTAAATTTAGAAAGAAATTGTGTAATAATTGGAAAAAATATTTTATCTATCTATATTTTAGAAAAATAATTGCTTATAAAAATGTACAATTATTTCTAAATTATAATGTAGAAATATTGCAACATAAAATCTGATATATTCAGCATTAAATTTAGTTTTAGCAGCAAAATTAAAAATTTTTAAGTCAAACGGCTCTTAAAATGTATATATGAACTGATTTTTCTGGAAGTGTTTATCGAACAATTTCAGTTTGAAAATAATCGGTTGAAAATAATGTGTTCTGATTTGTATTTGTTCAATATGTTACCGGCTTCTCCTTTCATTCTTGAAAGAAAGTGAATTAAAAAATATTTACATCTCAAATTGGATTTATCAAATTTTTGATAAATATCATTTAGAAATTTTATTCTGACAAAATTGTTGTGTTATGGCAAATTATCTTTGTTAGCGCAATTATTGCAAAATTGTCGTCAGTTGATGATGCCATTATTGTATAATATTTCCACAATTTATCTTATCGGGGTAACAATCCTCATTATCTAATATATTCATTTTAGTGGAAAAACGTTTTGCTGAAATTATTCCATGTTTTGAAACACTTCAGTGAAATTTCAGCATTTTAGAAAAATTTCTGTTTAATTTCAGTTCAGATTTTTAAAAAAATTTATTTTCAGCAAAATTTCGAAGAAATTTCAGTTCCATTTCAGCAATTTTTCAGTATGTTATCTGAAAAATTCACATTTAATGAAATCTCAACAAATTTTCAGTGATGAAAATATTCTAAAAAACGAATAATTTTAGCGAAATTTTTTACCCAATTGTCTTCAATCTTTCTTTTTGTGATTATATAATGCATTTAATTGCAATTACGATCACAAATACCTAATAATATTAATAATAACAAAACTTTCTTTTTCAGGTGGGCGGAATGAAGGAAGGTGATTTCATAGTCGGCATCGGCGAAAAAGATGTTAAGTGGGCATCCCACGAGCAAGTCGTGCGGATGATAAAACAATGCGGTGACTTTATAAATTTGAAATTAGTCACCCCAATGGATAGGAATTATCTAAAGGTAAATGATAAAATTTATAATTAATAATATTCCGATAAAAAATATAATGCAACACGTTAGTTAAGATAAGAATACTCTAAACATTATATAGGGTAAGATCGTCCAAAAGTACGTATCGTTAAAGAGTACGCATTAAGCTTTACCCAGTAAATGGATGAATTGAAATGGATTGAAAGTTTATCTGTTGTCTGGAGTGCGTATTTTAAGTAAGAAAAATTATATTATTAGATTCTATCAATTGAATTCAATGGGATTAAAAAATTGTATTTCCTATTCAGAATTTTGACTTGAGAAGTATTCACGACGCACAGAAAAAAGCTAGTATTATTTTTAGATTGAAAGGCATAAAAATGTGCTTCATGAAATTCCTATAAATAAATAAAAATGCATTTGGATTGAAAAAGAAATTTATTTTAATGTTCGCGAATGCGTATTTGAAAATGTTGACCCATTTTAATTCACATTTTAATTATTGTTTACTGGATACGGCACAACTATATTAGATTGCAACAGCTGTAACTCATACAGAACATATCTTTTTGATTAGCCAATCTGTGTAAAAGATACTTGTAATCGTTGCAATGAAATAATGTCTCAGAATAGCGATAGCGATAGAAATAACACGATTTCAACCTATCAGAAACAAATCTACAAAACAAAGATACAATGGAATATACAGTTTTTGATAGATTAAAATCGTGTTATTTTTATCGCTATCGCTATTTCTTCGCATTGTATCCGGAGCTTAAAGAAGATATATTAGGAGATTATAAATTTGTGAATTTGATTTTCATTTTCTTACTATATTTGTCACGAATAAATTTATCGATTTTTACATTAATTTGTTACTTTATGAGTCTGTACCATTTATATTATGTATATAAAAAAGACATTTACCTTTTTTGTTTTATGTGTATAAATTTTTTGTATTATTTTGTATAGTGATAGATATATTTTACTTAATATTATATCTGTAATAATTTTTATACGGTTGCATTATTAAAAGTAAAAAGTGACGTGATGTCCGCAAAAAGTACGCACTTGAAAACTTGATCGAGCCCGTAAGAAACAATGATACTGTAGATAATGATAACGATGATACATGTATTTTGTAACGGTTGTATTTGTATTCTAAATTCGATGAAAATTGAATTCTGATCCCCTCTTCTTGAAAAGTATCACCAGAGAGAAAGAGGACATGGCAGTCTTTTTTCTGTAACCGCAAAATGTCTTCGCATACTACTATACGTCCTTTGAAGAAGTGGATGTAAACTACACAGCAATTTTTTTTTTTGCAATGCTCCTAATGGAAATAAATCACTGAAATTGTTGAAATCTCTATTAATTTGATAGATTTTATTTCAACAATTTCAACGATTTATTTCTATCAAGAACACCGCAAAAAGGAAATAGATATTGCTGTGTAGCTTTATATCCACTTCTTCAGAGGACAATAGTACGCGGGGACATTTTTTAGTTACAGGAAAAAGGCTCTCATGTCCTCTCTCAAGTTTCTCTCTGGTATCACATTCATAAAATTAAGAAAATACTATAGTGTACGTTACGTATACTATAATATTTCCCTAGTTTTATGTATGCGATATTTTTCAAGAATAAGGGCTCTGGTACCAAAGCAGCTGGCTCTAGGCCCATTATCGATTGCGCTGGGATATCGACCGTCGATCGAAAACTTATTTATGTGAACTCTGCACGTAAAAATACTTCAGGTATTTATAAAAATTTATATTTAATTAAAAATAAAAAGCTTTTCAATCAACATTGTTTTTTACAATAAGCGACACTTTTTTAATAGTGTGTACTCTCGAGAAGACACTTGCCCAAGAGTACGCATTTTTACCTTTAGGCCTGGTTGCACCAATATTACTTTGACTTTAAGCGAGACTTAAAACTCTCTCTGTCTCGTTTTAAAGCTGAAAAAGAAACAGAGTCAGACAGAGATCTGAGAGCCTCGCTTAAAATCAAAGTAACGTTGCAATAGGGTTTTAATTAAGGTAAAATTAATTTCCTGAATGAATGTTTGTATCAAATTGATACCTGACCAATTTTTCAAATTATAAAGTTCAAATTATAAAAAATAGTTTAAGCAGCATTTTATTACTGCTCAAACTCGGATTCTTGTATATACATACAAATTATACAGCATGAAGGAAAAGAACGTACTTTTGGGCGGTTTTATCCTATGTAGCAATATATAATAGAGATTAGATAATTGAAATTAATTAGTTTTGATAATAAATTTTTCTATTTGTCTATTTTTACATTCTCTTTTTTATTAAAAAAAAGATAATTGTTATAAATAAAATATTTCTCTGACAAATAATAATCGGTCAATGCAAAAGTACAGTAGAAACTAATTATTTTAGAAACCAGGAAAACCCAACAATCACGATAAGGGCAGCGTCTCGGCGAGCAGCTCTTCTGGAGTTTCTTCCGGACAACCAAGCCCGGCGGGATCCGTCACTACAGCGCACGTAGTGAGAAGGCTTCCGTGGAATCCATTTAAAAAATCTGGCATCCATCGCGAGAACAGAGATTTAACCTTTGACAATGTTATTCTCAGATGATTATCGGATTAGAGATCGTTCGGTCCAATTATCGTACATTATTGTATGAGCTTAGAACATGCTGCGATGAATTGATCGAAATAAAAATTAATCAAAATTCACCGATTGCCAAAATTGAATGTTGTTTGGTATACATAACAATTCACTATGTCAAAATTTCATATTAATACCGATAATATTCCATGTTAAATATAATAAATATATTTATGTGTAAAAGACTTTCTACAATAAGCAATTACTTAAGCTTTAAGTCTTAAGCCGTAAGAAATTGATCAATCATAATCAATTACGATTAAAATATTATTTGGCTTATTGTAGAAAATCTCTAACATTGATTTTAATTAATTCATTGAGCGAGTAATGATTGAAATTGTATATCGCTAAATATCGGAAGCATTCAGAATTTTTCTGTTTGTCTGTGGTTAGCAAAGTTTTAGCTGCTCAAGAAAATTTTTCTTAAAATTCTTTTTATAATTTTTTAGATTTTTCAATTTCTCAGAATTTTTGTATAATTTCATAATTTTTTAAAAAATTTCTCATATTATTTATATACGAATTGGAACTTTTCAGAAGTAGTGAGAAAATATTACATTATTTCTAGAATTCATGAGAATTCTGAAATATTTTAAAATTTTTAAGAAATCTCGTTCTATAATTTCTGAAG